ACTGTGAGTTCGTTAAGCTTGCGGACACCTGACATGCTTCATCCCCGCCTACAAAACTCCAAAAGCCCCCTGAAGGTTAGAATGTGGAAGGGGATTTGTATAACCCTGAAAAACACATCCTCACATTTGATCCATTCCACTCCAATCACTGAGAGACCTCTTAAGTGAGCTTGGATAGCGGACGAGTGATCCTGCACCTCCATCTAGAACCCAATGCGACTCCTCCTCCGCGTCAAAATTTCCTAGACACTTACTTGGCTGGTTAGTCTGCTCTGAGTCACCAACTGGAAGCTCTGCAAGTACACAGAATAACCAGTCATTCAATCCTCCACTCAGTGCCGAGCCCCAGGGGTTGATGAAAATAAAACGGTCCGCCTGAGCAGGGGCGAGTCGAACCACTTTGTGACTTTGACAGATGATAATAAACTATTTTTTTGCATTGTTATTATTGCACTATCCCTACACTCCGATGGCGTTGATAGCTTTTGATGATTGAATTACCAATACAGTTTTGATGGACGTACATATATTGCACAATTGACAGTTATTTCATGTCACTGATAAACATAACCCCAGTGTTATTGCTGTGCACACACGCCTTATCAGGATGTGCCGCTCAAATTTCGCTGATCAATCCTAAAATATCTTGCACTACACTTCAGCTACTTGTTCGTTTTCCTATGATTTCATGAAATCATAATCACGTTTTTTTCTTTTGTCATTTTTTCCTGCTAGTATTTAATCTGATTAATAATATGGCACTATAGGGCGGAGCCTCTGCGATTATGGAACATGTTGACTCCCACTCAGTGACGCATCGATCGATACTTATTTTTTTCCTAGGAATCTTCGTAAATTGTCTAGCCACAGAACACGTACTGCAGCTGAGAGGTGAGGTTTTGATTTGTCGGGAAAGCGTCTCGGATTAGGTGCTTTTCATAGTAAAGTTCCGCATTGCATTAGGTGATATCGATTTATTAAAATTTTACTGTTGAACTTTCTAGCACTTTTTTGTTGATAGCAGTATCCAAAAAAGACTTGATGGCCCATAGATTGTGGACAGCTTTCGATGTTGTCGAGAAATGGCCACACATATTTGAAAATCCTCCCTCAAGGGACTGTCTGTATCGGTTTCGAAGGCCGTTCTGATAAACAACAATTAATCGTATACAGATGAAACTAAATCTTAATATCAATAAAATTACCCAGAACTATGATGATGTGCTTTAGCAGCTCACGGCTTCTCCAGGTTACTTCCTATTTTTAGCTCTGCGGTTTTTTTACTTTTTTGGCACCCATTGTGGAGCGCCTTGGCGGTCCCAAGGTCTGCGTCTTCCCAAGAAACTTCGGGAAGAGGAGGACAAAAACTATTTTAGAGTACAATTTTTGAAAATAGCTTTTAATGGCTCTCTTTCTCCTAACCACTTCCAGCAAGACGTGGAAGCTTTTTGGACGACGCAGATAACACTCATAGGAAACATGCGACTAATAAACGTTCAGTTTATTGCATTACTCCACTGATAAGGTCGATGAAGTGCTTTGAAACCTTGATAGTTCAAATCGCAGAAAATACAATTTCTGAAATCAAATTCGTGAGCCCGTAATGTAGCTGTGACGACACCTGAGAATTTAATACCATTTGAAAAAAATAATCAGATTACAAGGCGTATGACACATATCCATCCTTGCACCAATCAATATCTATTGTTCCACACCTATTAAATATGTCAACTAACTACTCTCACTCTCTAAGGCCACCGCCGGGATAAACTGTGCCTATAGTGTTTGCATGATAGCTTAGCTGCGAACGACCTGAAAGTGGAAATGGAAAGCACAGAGAAATCCTTGTGAACGTTGCAATTAAGGCCTTAATCTCCAATAAGGTCGGTGTGATACGATAACGAGACAGGGGAGGATCAAAGAAGTCAAAATTGCGAGAGAACACGCCGCTCGAGAGGCCCCGCCGATCTCTACATCGATGCATGGTGATCTTACCACTCTCGCAATGGGTGTGGAGCGTTGCAGCAAGGGTCGATGGTTGCAGGCCCGTAAGAATAAGCGCCCTGACCCGCAGTTTGCTACAAAGCTCGAGTGATCCGGACAGGTACGGACCTCACAATTTCCTCTGCAGTATCCTTCCTACTAGTCAGCCCTAATCCCGGAGTTTGCCTTTGAGTTAGGCCATAACATCTGATAAGCGCGTCTTTACCAGCAGTTATCTGCGTCTAACATTCTTGGCTTGATCTTTAAGGATCCTCTGTCGCTCCAGATCCACCTGCAAGTGCTGTACTGGTTTCTGTACCAGTTAACTCCAGCGTAACGCTCCGATGTGAAAAGCCATCGGATCTGCCTGAACTCCAATGGTTACACAATGGTAACGACTTAAATTTGAAGGTGCTACGAATATCAGAAGACGAGTGAGTATTTTGATTGAAGTGCACATGAATTCCAAACGTTGAGTCAATGTCTTGTTACATGAAAATCTAGCGTATTCATTCCTTAGGCACACGTACCCAATACCACGGTTTTTTCAGCAAATCATCTTTACATATTGCGTGGTACATCACGAAGCACCACGATGGAGTCTACGAATGTTATGCAGTAAGTTTTAACGCACTTTTCATCTCTTATGGTGCCATTAAGCTACAAAAGCAGAAGATTAAAGGTAAGGCGGTTTGGTTGCAAGTGGCGCACTTGCCATGCGCACGGTTCAAGGTTCGTATCCCGGGAAGGTCACTAGTCTTTCATCCATCCGAGATCGGTTAAGTGGTACGACTTGAATGGGAGAGTAGAAACACTACCTTGCACATTGGCTCACCCCAAAGGTCGCTATATATGGAGGCCAAGTCAGGTTAAAACTCCTTAACTTCTGAATAGAACTAAAGTACGTGGCGCATCCCTAAAATGAGGTTAAGCAGCGTCGTTTGGTTTATCTTTTGATTATAACCCTTCTTACTATATAATGGCGATGACTCAAGGACAGCGTAGTGGTCAGGGGCGCAACATAGCACACTGAAGATCCAAACTCTTGCTAGCTACACGTTGACTTCTGAAAATTCCTTTATACGAGAACGTTCAATCTGCGCTCTATGGCTGTGGAGTGCATCTAAGCACGAAAATATTTGCATTGAAGAAAGTCGGGTACATGGCGCTTACCAGAAGGTTTTAAGCAGTATACTTGTTAGCCTTCTAAGGCAACTAATCATCCAAAAGTAACAGCCCATGCATCCGAAGTTCCGTACAACCAACGTGGGAATGATATGGGCCTCCACAATGTCCTATCAACATCTGCTTTCGCCTAAATGATATGAGCCTTGTTTTCCCTTATACTAACAACTGCTTCACTTTATCCAGGCAATTGGAAATGATATTCACCGTTTAGAGCGAGTCTCCTTAATTTCTGCAAAAACTGGGCCATTTCCTTGGCAGGAAAGTGAGCCTCGGCCTCAATTAATGATTTTTACCATGAGACTTTGGCGGTCAGGTACCCCTCAAGAGTAGCTAAGGAATCGTCGGCACTATTTACCCTTTACTGCCCCACTCCTCAAGAACTGAGCCGGATTTTGATCGAAATTCGTCCATGACTGTGGATTTTGCTAGAAACTTGCCTTCAGGGGTAATTTGACCCGTAGATCACGAATATAATACCGGTTTAGAGCGAAAACGCTTGGCGCCCGCGCCACAGGCGCCGGCGCTATCACAACAGTTTTGCGCGGGCGCTCGTAGCGCAGGCTACAGGTTCACTCGTAACAAACTGATGTGATAATCATATTCTACGGGTCAAAATACCTCTGAGGACAACTTTCCAGCGAATTTGGGGATCCGAGATGTTCTGGCGCCTTTTGGCGCCGGCGCTTCTGCGCGAGCGCCAGGCGTTCTAGCGGTAAACAAATGTGATATTCGTGTTCTACGGGTCGAATTACCCCCGAAGGCAAGTTTCTGGCCAAATTCACAGTCAATGACCAATTTCGATAAAAATCCGGCTCAGTTCTCGAGGAGTGGGGCAGTAAAGGGTAAATAGTGCCAAATCGTCAATTCCAGAGGTAGACAGTAACATCAAAAATTTGTTGCAGGGTCCTGCTTCGGCATCAATACGTTTGAGAGGTGAGGATGAAGTCGTTCTGCCTGCAGGCTTTCGGTTTTGCCATAAATCCGAGAATGCTGCCTGTGATCATGCCCGTGCTTGCATGGCTGATGGTACAGGGAAGACGAGTTGCGTGTGAGTAAATTTGAATTTAGTTTTGTTTACTTGTTTAGTGGAGCTGAAACAAGTAACCTAGTTTTTGGTACACAAAAGGCGATGGTTTGTTAGATCACCAAAAGGTTTCAGCGCGTCAGCTTGCAACTGATGGTTCATTTAAACGCAGTGAAAAAGTTGGTTCGAGGGTGGAGCCATTTCGAAGATGTCATAGGGGGTCATTGGCGGAAGAGTTCCGCTGAACGACATCCCCCCACCCCCACACACTCACGCGCTGAGGGCTGGTCTCCAATGACGTCCAGCGACCTCGCGACTCGGTCAAAACGCTCGACCTCAGCATCGTGTTCAATGCGTTTAGAAATCGCTCAACATGAGCCCCTGAATCTTAGGTCGGAGGAGGCGCTTTTTGTTCTCTCTACAGTTCAGTTCTTTTCTCAAACGTTCACCTTCAGTGCTACCGCTGGGAGCGGTGGGACGTGTAATTTACCTAAGTTCGAACATTCAGAAAAGCGAACCTCATAAACGTTCTGTGTGCCTTATGTAAGTTTCTTTTATCTTGACAGTATGACCAGTTTTTCTTTTCAACTTATCCAATCCTAACAAACGCGGCGAAACGTAGCGCTGGTTAAGCCGTTTGTCATTACCAACAGAAGATTCGATGTCTTAAAGGACGAATTCACGATGAAAAAGCAACCCATTTCAAATTAACCTAGGGATGGTGAGTGGTACACGAAAGAAGGAAAACCATGAGAAACGGCCCAGAACCCGAGAAATGGGACCCCTTCCTTGCCCGTTGATTCGAGCATTGATGCGACTCTCATCGCTGTGCCCTCTTCAACACTACGCTCTCTCAGCTATCTAATCACTCGCCACGTATTGAACTACGGCGAGTGATCAGATGATCGGTGGGCGGAGATCGCCGGACCCGCCAGCTTTGAGGCATGATAGGTCGCCGAGGTCAAATTTTTCCATGCGAATTGCGCGTCAGTTCGCACCCTCAGGAGGTCCGTGGGTCCCTCAACTAGGTCAGTTTCCCTTTCTTCGACCTTCATTCTAATCGTGAATTCCTCCTTTAAGTTGGAAAAAAAATAGCCAGCTGCGGAGAAATGTCCGGCGGCAATTGCCATACACCTTGCTACCTGATTTTCCATTGAAGTTAATCACCCTTCCTCACCTTACCTTACACAGGAATCAGATACGTTAGCGGGCTGGCATGCTTCAACCAGAAATTGTGTGATGATTCGTGAGAGAATGAACGACTTCATGAAGAAGTGGTGCCCATATAATTACCACAGTGATTTCTCGTGACCGTCGTATTTAGATGGAATCCAAATGGCAGCTAGCTTATGTCCGCAATGGTGAAAAGAATGGAACAGCTCAACCACCGGGTGTTTCATCCGCCCGGAAAATGAAAGGCTCTGACTACGCAATTTTAGGGCCACCTGTCATAACGTTGATGGTATTCATCTTCTGCGTTTTCTTGTTACTTGTCTGCGTTTATAAATTCAAAAACAAGGTGAGTTACTTTATTATTTTTTCGGATTTTTCGGACTCATACCTTCTCAACAGTATGCCTAATTTATTAATTTTCAGCCACCTTCCAAGTCGTTCCGATATCGTGGAAGCAAGTGAGTTTGTAGTGCGCTTCTCACAAATAATCGCGCCAGCGATATAAGCTCTGGTAAGAAAAAAGTAGGAAAAGCGCAATTTTTTCTTCCTCCGTCAATACCGAAGGAATCAATCGGCTCACTAAAGAAGCGTGAGCTTTTTCCAACTGGACGACCTCAGAAGAAAAAATTTCTTAATTGGCCGAAATGATACTCGACTCTTGTTCCTCCGCCGATAAGAGAGCCTGTTGTTAGTCCCAATCATCCAGCCCGTTGAAAATGAATTCCGTTCATGATACTGGAAGATCCTTTATTTGAACCCGCTCGCTGTATGTGAATAACCCTCGGTACGCCCGACATAATTCAAGTTCGCGGGTAATTGAGACATGCTAGTTCCTATTAGAAGTATAATAGAGACTCACAATCAGGCAATGCAAATATTAATACGAAAGGTGGTTCCGTTCAGTCGCAGTTTCATACAATGGTTCCCCTATATGTGCCAAGCTGATCCCTCACGGCAAAATGTGCCATTTATACCTGATTCGTACTACTTCCTTTGCTTAGTTATTGCAACTGGAATCGAATGTTTGCCATTAAAGGCAGCGATTACGATAAAGTGGGAGCGCATCGGGGAAGCATATGCACCACACGAATCAGTTACTTGGCTGCCAGGGAAGCGAGATGTAGCGCTTTCGCTTCGCTGGTTGCTGAGCAGGACTTCGAAAGGGGAGCGGTCATATGGCGCGATCACATTGGCATTAGAGCGCACAGGCCGCAATTGCCCCATCCTGCTGCGGCCGGACAACTCGTCCGTATCACTCAACTACTAGACTTCAGTAATTGATCGATCTGATAATTTGGGTCTCAAAAATCTCGCTGAGTCCCAAAGATCTAAAAAAGAGCGGATAGCTTCTTGGCCTGATGCCAAGGCAAGAGGAACGGAATGTGTTGCGCGGACGAGTTGTCCGGGTACAGCAGGATGAGGTAGCACGGATTGTGCGCTCCAATGCCAATGGGATCGCGCCATACCACGTACACCCGTTCGAAAGCACTCCTCCCCCAGAAGCGATCCGCCCACTAGTTTAGTTGGTGATTTGGACGAGCTGCGTTGCCAGCAGCGGCACAACTGGAGCAACTCGATTGGAGCGTGGTTTGGCATGGTGTCACCAAACGCGTTGCGCTGAACTCGTTCATACGTCCGCTTTCTGAGCTGTACCTGTTCATGAGTGAAAACCAACGGCCAAAAAAAAGGGGGTCCCATTTTGCGTTTTTTGACGGATTTCTCCGCTTTTTCGCCACCGACGTACCATTGAGCACCACCAGTCTCCTCTAAACCCTTCTTGAACCTATCGTAATCACTGCCTTTAAGTTGTTTGTTTTTTCAAGATTTTTTTCATTGTAGGAGATTCCAAAATTACGCGACAGTGAAGACTAACGAGCTCACGCGCAAGGAAGGTGTGTAATTGTGTTCATCGAGCACACTTCTGGACGTCGGCTAGCACTTTGCTTTCGAAAGCTTCGATCGTAAAGCCCACGCACCAGCAGATCAATATGGAGGAAATCAAATTGGATAGATTGCCTTATAGATTGATTTTTATTACTTTAGTGTCAATGCAGGCGTGTAATTGCAATGCATTCGAACCAAGTGCATTTAGCGGTACCCGAGCTTCGGTAACGGTTAGCATGCAAATTGCGTTTGTGATTGGTGGTTCAGACGGTGCCACCAATTGCAGACCTTGGCATGCACATTTCATATCCCTGTGAAGTCGACCGCAATATGCATTCGGGGCGCAACGACATGCAATATTGTGATAGCGAAAAAAGGATAAAATTCCCAAAATGGTAAAGTGCCGGTTCCTTTAAGTGCATTGGTAAAAACTTGTCATTCGACTTTCATATGGAATTGTATCTAGGCCAAATTTTTCCAATGATCTTATTCTTATCTCGTTTGTATCTTTGAAAGGCATTAATTCACTTGTCAACATTTCACTCTTGCAGAAATTTTCCTCTTTATGTGATGTAGCCAATTATGGAATATGTACCACGTTGGAATTGCATACGATCTCGATCACGTGTCACCCTCAATTGCACATTAATACTTGTATAATTGTATTGCTATTAAATGCATAATAAATGGTCGCTGCTTTTTAGAATACAATACAATTAAAGAAGGGGCAATTTAGCTGTGGACACGGTATCACAAGTCCATAATGCTATAATATTATCAACAAGGTATGACGACCACTATTTGAAGGGCAACCCATGATCAATTCATGACATAGCCCAAATTCTGAGCTTATGTGCTTGGCAATAATCAGCGAACAAATGGCTACCGCCACTCGGGGCAGCAAATGAATCACCTATAGGAGAGAAGCACCATTAAAGCAACAACCCCAAATGAGGCTGTGTCCAATACTCGATTCCGTGCAGAGCATGGAGTAGCCCGTGAGTATTACAGTTGTGCCGTTGTCGCGATCGAATGGATAACGTGACTGCTCGAATTCTCCTTTATGTGCTCTACCGCGAAGGGCCAGAGCACAGGCGATTAGAGAAAAGCGTCTGGCTCAGCTACAAAACCCAAGTGGTAAGGGCGCACGCATAGTCGGTCGGACGACAGCAACGATCGTAACTGTCGCACAGCATTGGATGCGTATCGATCGTCGGACTTGCCTGAGTATTCGACGATTAGATGCAGTTAGACAGTCAGACAGTTGCGATCATTTGTCCACTGTGAAGGGGTGTGGCTCAGTTACGGTATCGAAGGAGGCTGGCGTTGGCTAGCCGGGGCTCGGGAGTGATGGTCCAGCCTTGACCATACTCCACCCCATTCTTATGTCCCTCTTCCTGACTCTTTATTATGTAATAAATATGTATAGCCTAACTTTGGCTTTTGTATTATTTGGATATTCACCCTACCCGCTACACACATTCAGATTAGGGTCGGCCAACTTATAATCTGATATGGACGTTGCTGTCGGACGACCGACAATGCGTGCGCCCTAAGGTGACAGCTTTAGGACTAAGACTTAAAGGGAGGAGAGCGTCCAGAGTGGGTGAGCCAATTACATTGCGGCAAAGTTTGAGCGTATCAGATCATCATAATCATAAGCCGCTGCTTAGCGAGAGAGCGCAGGTGCGCGCATCGAATCGAGGAGGCTTAAAGGAATGGGTTTAAGATGTCCGTAGACCGATTGGAAGTGCGCGACAATGATGCTAGGGCCTTGCAAAGTGAGTTAGTGTCGGTTAATGTGAGCTAATGGACGAGATACTTCGCGCACGCCCCATGACACGCAACGTGGGTTACAACGTTGCGGCTAATTCAAATAGCGCGGGCTAGTAGACCATGGAGGGCAAGGCTCATCCTGTTCCACCGTCATACCCAACCGAGTTGAACTTTCTCTCCAGAAACCGATCTGTAGCAACAAATTCTACCTAAACTAGTCCACCATCAAGACTCAAAGGTAGCACAATCGTCGTCTTCAGGTTCGTTTGAATGTTTGTTTTTACGAAGAGAAGCCCATTTTCTCTGTGTCCACTTGTGAGTTGAGGGGCACTCTGAATGTCTGTACAAAGAATGGCACTGAATGGCGAACACGCTGGTCTAGCTTCTTCGGCCCTACAAATCAAGCATTTATGCTATATCCGAGCGGAAGTCACTAATACCGTGCTATGCAGTCTATAGAGCGATTGATAAGTTGGCTTGTCTGGCGAATATTCCATCCAAGGTGATGGTGAAGTCGATCTCAGCTTGCTCGGCCATAGAAAGACGATTGATGCGTGACATTTTATTCCATGTGGGCTGTGTACACTCTGTTTCATGCAGCCAGAAATCCACGTGGCACACGTGGCTAAATTCTCGATGAAAAGGTGACATCACGTGTGCTCAAAGATGTTCTTGAATCGATGCCACGTTAATGCCACGTCAATTTCTGCAATTGCACAATTTCTGGTCATTTGAAGGCGAGGGTATGTGCGCTTTCATAGTCGGTCGTTCAATTGCGAACCGCGCAAACGATCGGGCGGTCGGCACGTATCCACTGCCACGCTATCACTACGGATCCGCACGATCAGACGACAGACTATGAAATCGACTCGTGCATCATGAAACACTAGTATTTCTCTTTTGCAATTTGGAAGTTAAAATCATTGAACATGTCAGCGATGTCGTAGAGCTTTGAAACGATTATTTCTTCACTTTTTTGACCCAGACCGCAAACTTAATGAGTTTCTCTCCAATTTTATTTATATGCTGGATCTGGGGCAATGGCCAATTTCGAACATTACACTTCAAATTTTGAGGCAGTTGGGTAATTTTATAACGAATCGCAGTAGTAAGTTATCAAGATTATACGAATATCATTCCGTCCAGGTCCGGTAGGGAATTATGAAGTCCCACATTCTTGGAAAAGGTGACCAAAATGTAAGCAAACACCAATCATGGGACCAATTCAAGAGTACGTCGATTTTCACGAGCTTTTAGAA